AAAGTCATACGAAGGAGCACGCGGATCTCTTGTTTAACCAACCGCTTGAACCACGTTTTGTTCGATCACATAAGCGTAAGGTGTATCAAGGAATAGTTTCCACATTGTGAACTAGCTCGATAATGTCAATATCCTCCTATAAATAACAGCTATTTCTTAATTCTTATTATTAGACTGGAGATTTGATCGACTTATAAAAAAAACTGTATCTGCAGAAAATAAGAAAGAATGGATGTAGTGTGAGGAAGTGTGTAAAACAACATCACAAAATATCAGAATACCCACAAAATCATAATGTACATCATTATTTTTTTGAAAGATAAAAGAATTCTCAATCTATATTCCATTTTTTAATTTTCATTACAGATTTTTTATTCTGCATCCGCAGTCTATTTGTTATATTAATATTATTGAATCATTATTTAATTACGAGAGACGAAACTATAATTCACACGTTTCTCCCTCATTAACATTTAATCGCAGTAAAAGATCAGTAAAAGTGGAAACTTTCATTACTTTCTGTCTGTACTACTTGTACGTGTCACATAATACTGTATCCCTGTACTTTACAAGTATGATATGTAATGAGCAAAAGTACGATTGAAACTTCTATTGAATTAAAGAAATTTAATGTAGAATAGTTAGCAATACTGAAGAAAGAATGATGATTAAGAACAGAAGACGAATAAGTGCATAAAGAGGGCCATCAACTACGTTGCGAATCGTAAGCAAAGGTAGTGGTGACGACTTTTCGACGACGAGAGCGTGGTCTCGTGTTGCTCGCTTTGACGAGCTCTTGTATGCAATTACTCTGGCTGGCTTCCAAAGTGCTTCCTTAAGAGTGCGTACAAGGAACACCGCGTCTCGCGTCCAGCCTTTCCTCCAAAAATGCCCCTTCCGCGCGAAGTGAAAGCATGCGTGACTACCTTTTCGCAGAATTTTCATCCGAGCGACATTCCTTAATGTTTTTATCAAAAGGCGTTTTAATCGTATTTGAAAAAATTCTTTTCTTTCGAGAAAGGCGAGAAAGCAAATTTGATTTAAGTATATGAAAATATACGGATCATTTAATATACATATTTGTATTTGCATAATTTATTCGTGACCCAATTACTCGGGAGTTTGGTCTTATTCTACCTTGACTAATCTTTTTATAGAATAACCGGTTTTTCACGGTAGTTTTATATCTTATTCGTTGGATTCATTATGGCTCGGTTTCTATCCGTATTTAAGTTCTGCTCTACTTGTACCGCTTTATAATGACACTTGCAGATAATGACTAAACTTCATTCCTTATTTTATTTGGATATCGCTATTCGTCTGATAACTACCTTTCTAGATGATCACGTAAGTACGGGCTTTGAATGTAACGCACGATTGCTGAAAAATAACGGTGTATCATATACTTTTTATCCCGGTTACAGAAATATAATTCGTCAACGTTAAAGGATTCCTGCAATTTCCATAACTGTCATCCAGCTACCACTGACACCGACAGTTGTGCTACTAATCAAGGATTAGGCTTGAAGCGGTTGACAACCGCCGATAAGAGTCTCATGAGTTGACATAGACGCGACTCTGTTTTAAAAACCATGTTTAATATTATCTCCATCTGAATCTGCTGTTTGCATGCATAGCTACGCTTGGGGAGTAAGGAATTCCTTCATAAGAAATCTAAGAATTTTCAACCAACAAATCTGTGGGTCAATAGATTTCTCAAGTCTCGAAAAACATATAGACATTTCCTATTACATAAATTATTCTACCTTTGTCAATAGAACCCTAAATGTTTTGCTTCGAACTTTTCATTCGTTCCAATGAAACATTCAAAATACACAGGTAAGTACATATGTGCAAAGATTTAGGATAGTGATTATCGCATTGAACAATTTGTTGTACCTTTGCAAAGTGGAAACAAAGTGAAAATAATGACACTTGCGGTGATTTAGTAGTGGACCATGAGAAAATTCGTGTTCCAGGGAGGGGCACGTGGGCGTAAACAAAAGTATGACTCTGCCTGGAGCACAGGGAATGCGCTGAGCGCTGCTGCGCTGGGTCTTGTATCTACGTAAAGTATACGTCGACCATGCCGAACGGCCGTACGCCGTACGGCGTATGTATGGCATTGAGTGTATCCGTACATACTTACATACGGCGTGGCATGGCGAACGGTCGTCCGCCCCGCGGCCACCGCATTCCAACGGTTGTCCAAACCAAAACCTATATCGTATATACCCATCTCGCTCTCCCCTTCTCTTTTCACGTATGCGCTCTCTCTTTTTCCCCGCTGTCCTACTCTTTACCCCTTCTACAGACAATTCCTTCCACCTCCATCGCTGTACTACCTCTTATTCGAACCCTCGCCGCGATCTTCTTCGGAGGAGAAACGCGGCTTCACATTGTCTCGCTCCGTCCCTCTTTCACTCCTTCTCTATCCGTTCTGTTCGCCCGTGGTATCACGAGCACGAGCGACACTTGCCATGATCTCGCAACGAATTTCTCGTTTGATCCGTCGATCTTGCGCATCGCTGTTGCGTATTTGGCAATCGAACATATGCGAACGGCGTCTCTGTTTTCCCGCAGGACAGCGATGAGACCCCGATGACCTTTCTTAGAAGAGTCACTCGCCTTCTCCCCATTTGTCATTATTACTTTATCCTGTTCGCTGTCCTATCGATGCGGCTACGAGGACAAAACTTCCCGAGGTGCATTCCTTCCTTACGTATCATCGTGGACAACTTACGCACCTTACTGTTTGCTTGCAACCGCGATTTCTTACGCGATGCTACAGTAGAATCCACGTAAACGCTCCCCTCGGGACCATAGATCAATACGATTTATTGGATCGTTATGTTATAGGTAGATATACATTATATACAATTGCGACTTGGTGTAAAGTAAACGAACGAGGATTTAATAACTCGCGGTAGAAAGACTTGGATGTACGATACTTAAGTGAAATTTATAGTAGCAAGATCCGTGGCAACGATGAAGTTTCATGTACTTAAATAAAATACGTAATGCACGTGTACTATGTATTATGTATTAAGCATACATTTTCCTTGAACTAAATAATCAAAATTCACAAATCGAATAATTAATTTTGAGACAGAATGCGAGTTGACTGCAATCTAATTTCTATCTGAACCATTTGTTTATTATAGACTAAACGTCGTCATAAATCGTAAAGTTAATCATGCATTATTCAGTTTTTAAGAACTAAACACAGTCATATGAATGTGAGATGATTGACCTCTGATTTTACATTAAGCATTCGATACAAAAGTACGATATTGGACCTTCGTTTTCGTCCACGTCACTAAACGGGCGAAAGCCCGAGAAAGAAGATCACAATCTATGAGAGAATATCTCTCAAAAGTGTGCATCCTATGCGGCACCCGGTTGGCTGTAAATCCTTTCAAAGGTTTAAATTGTTCTTTCACGAAGATTTATACCGTACTTTATGATCTCTGAACGAATCGGAGCCTGATCTTCCTTGATATCCGATAAAGGAACAAAATTGAACTTTGAGGGCTCACGATACTGAGAAAAATTCCATTTTTGAGAAAACCGGTTTCTAACAGTTATTAAATGTTAAAACATGCAATCTCTCTGACTCAGCTTTCTGAACTTACTACTTGACAACTGTCACATGTCTTTGATAATAATTATGAATACTAGATTAAAATTGATGGAACGTGATTACCTTGGCACTAGCTACATTTTGTAGCTAATATAGTAGTAACGATCCTCTAGCAATAAGTTTTCAACAATTTTAGACAACCTTACTACTTTTATACATAAGATTAAATTTATGACAATTACATGAAGTGTTTTAAAGACTGCTTAACATTATTTCTTTCAGTTTGTATATATTTTAGAAGACTTACCAAACTTGTTTCAGTGTGTTGGTGGAAATGAACATATGTATACATTCGTCATGACGAGCACTCGAAGAGCACTTAAAATTATTATTAATGAAAACTTCACTTTTTTCCATTCAGTCTTCACGTTGCGTCAGCAGTTTTATTTTTCACTATTTCATTGAGAGATGCATAAACAAAAGACATGTCGCGATATTAAATGTACATAATCATGCTGAAAAGTGCACTACAATATTTCGTGAAACTGTAAACACATATGAACTTTTTTAAACTGTACCACGCAGACGGTGATGTTGGCGCAAACGCATGATGTGTCGAGATCAACAATATCCTTGGGCAAAAAGAACGAGTTAGACTTATTCTGTCTTTTTTTTAATTCTGCGAGCAGTATCTTTCATCTGATTAACGAGACAAAATATCCACACGCCCGTCTTACCGAGTCGCCGCTTTTCGGCAGCTGTCAATTACTAGCAACACAGGCGCCGCGTTTGTGCAGCATCCCAGCAGAACCACTTTCGGTCCAGGGTACAAAAAAATTTCTTATGCGAAGAACGAACACAGAAGACGATATTTCTGCCATCTGCCAACAATTGTCGAAGACAAAATGCTTTAATATTTATCAACAGAGTTTGGGTCTTAAATTTTTTAGTATCTCTACGTCTACGGTACTCTTCTGCATACTTCCCATTTTATATAATATGTACTTCCGTACTTTTCTCGTGCACCTAAAAAAATGAATTTAATACGGAGAACACTTATACAATTACGTATATCAAACTAACTAAAAACTATCACCGAGGAAGTATTATAGTATATAGAGCATGTTATCAGCTTATCAAGCCAACTTTAATCGCATGAAAAGTCAACAAAAGAGAACTTACGCATAACGTAAGAAATATTTGAATAACATTGTTTAACATGGTTTAGGAAAAGAAAAATGAAATATATTGTACCTGTTTTTTTCAAATAACCACGTCGCTGAACATAGCAATTTGTGTGCTACTTATGTGGGGGTATATACTACATACATATGTATATAGGGGGGTACTACATACATATGTATACATGACGAATAGAAACAACTTCAGGCACGTTCGAAAACGATACAAGTCAGCAAGTGATCTGAAGCGGACTGCATCCGTGGACAGTTTAAAGGGGTGTGCGCCCCGGTTACATAGATAAAAGTGTGCTTATTGTACGTTTGACAATAAATATTAACTAATACTATATGAACTGGAAATAATACGTGATCGAGATGGGTGAGTTGTGTGATGATCCATGAATGAACAAACCTCCGAAAACTCATCGAATCTCATGAAGATAAATACTTAACTATTCGATGGACAATTGTTCGTGTTTCTTACGGTTTCGGAACTACTCTAAAGTAATTATATTTTCCTATTTTTAGGAGGATTACTCAGTTACTTTCGTAATTTGCTCGGTAGTCGAGAAATGCGAATTTTAATTCTAGGCTTGGATGGAGCCGGAAAAACTACGATTTTGTACAGGTGTGCTTATTATTGACAAGCTCGACTGTTTGACAGCTTACCTATTAACACGTACACTGAAGTTGATATTAATTTGTTTGTTTAGATTAATTTATGTAAATTTTAGTTTTTGCTCAGATTTTATATTGATGTTAATACTAGGAAATGTTGATACTGTTTTATACTATAAGCAATTTAAGAATTTGGAACGGTAGCGATAATTGAACTTGACATAGGATACACTTAAAGTCTTTCTCCATTAGGTTACAGGTTGGAGAAGTAGTTACAACAATACCCACTATAGGATTTAACGTAGAACAGGTTACATACAAGAATTTAAAATTTCAAGTCTGGGATCTGGGAGGTCAAACTAGTATACGGTATGTAATAATCATAAGTAAAAGTAGACTTGTATATACCGTCATTTCTTGAAACTTTCAGGCCATATTGGAGGTGTTATTATTCAAATACAGATGCAATTATTTATGTTGTGGACTCGGCAGACAAGGATAGGATAGGCATATCAAAAGATGAATTAATTTATATGTTAAGGGTGGGTAGTTCTTACTGCTAATAGTATATGAAATGAACTATAAATATATTTAACAATACAAATGAACGTAAAACTAATAGACATTGTTTGCAATACTGAATAAATATATATATGATTGTACGCGTCCAGGAAGAAGAATTGCAAGGTGCCATTCTGGTGGTCTTAGCAAATAAACAAGATATGGCAGGATGTTTAAGTGTAGCAGAGGTGCATCAGGCGCTTGGATTAGATGCCCTTAAAAACAGAACTTTCCAAATCTTTAAGACGTCTGCAACAAAAGGTGAAGGACTTGATCAAGCAATGGACTGGTTGTCGAATGCGCTGCAAAGTAGAAAATGATTAATATTATTAAGAAACATTTTTTACCTAAGCCTTATTGAGAAGACTAGTCACACGACTGTCACAATGAATGACCTACATAGAGCTGGGCACATTTTGTTTATTTATTATAATTATATTTTAAACAGCTTTACGAATTCCATCAGAAGTTTACTCTATGATTTATTACGATTTTCATAAATGTGAAGCAAAGAATAAAAGGGCAAACAAAATGTTTTACCTTTCCATACAATTTTGAATAAAACAGAAATGTATTCGATTCTTAAGTACTTTTCCTGCATCGTTATTAAAGAATTATATTATTATCGTAATGTGAACATTTTATTTGTTATTATGTTTTTTATTATACGAAGCAATAGAAAGTAGTAGCTTTTAATAACATTTTCTTACCATTTTATTAATTAATTCAAAAAGATCATGTAGTAAAAATCGAAAATCGTTCGAGATGTAAAGCTTTTGACGTACTGTGTGAATAATTATGTAAATATATGTGTCTCAATGATTTCATTCATACAATGTAAGTACTACATACATGTAGAATGTCCTTTTGTAACAAGAAAAAAGAAAAGGTGAAGGACTTGATCAAGCAATGGACTGGTTGTCGAATGCGCTGCAAAGTAGAAAATGATTAATATTATTAAGAAACATTTTTTACCTAAGCCTTATTGAGAAGACTAGTCACACGACTGTCACAATGAATGACCTACATAGAGCTGGGCACATTTTGTTTATTTATTATAATTATATTTTAAACAGCTTTACGAATTCCATCAGAAGTTTACTCTATGATTTATTACGATTTTCATAAATGTGAAGCAAAGAATAAAAGGGCAAACAAAATGTTTTACCTTTCCATACAATTTTGAATAAAACAGAAATGTATTCGATTCTTAAGTACTTTTCCTGCATCGTTATTAAAGAATTATATTATTATCGTAATGTGAACATTTTATTTGTTATTATGTTTTTTATTATACGAAGCAATAGAAAGTAGTAGCTTTTAATAACATTTTCTTACCATTTTATTAATTAATTCAAAAAGATCATGTAGTAAAAATCGAAAATCGTTCGAGATGTAAAGCTTTTGACGTACTGTGTGAATAATTATGTAAATATATGTGTCTCAATTATTTAATTTTAACATTATATGGTAATCGAGTATGCTGTCCATGCACTGCTTGAACAGTATATAAAGATTTGATAATTTATGTATTTAAAATCTTTATAAAAAGTATTTCATAATAAATATTCCACAAAGATTAATTGCATTTTAATTAATAAAACAATTTACTGCATTCTTCAGTTTCTTTAAACAAACAGTGTGAAATTAATATATTAAATTAATGTGCGAGTACATGCTTTACAGATATGTTACATAATAAATTGTAAAAACTTCGCAAAAAAGATTAAATATTTTATGTAAATTGTACTGCAGTTGTAATTTATTCTGATGTTATTTTGTTTCATGCAAATCTTATTAGCTATTTGGGGATTCTTATTTATATTAAAATTAACGCGACGGGCTATAACAACGCCTCCTATTCATAAGTATTGAAGTACAATGTTGTTTTTAATTATCCGTAAAATAAGATTATTCTTCATAGGTCCGCCGATTTTATGAATACGAGGCGTCGATAAGTTCTGTTTGTCCGCAAGTATATGCACATAAAATAATCGTTTTTGCATGCATTGATTGATAAAAAACAATTATGAACGCACCTCTGATCTTTTTAAAACATTATAGTTTCACCACTCCGGAATGCCAAATCTTTCAACTCGTTTCATTTGCGTATCTAATTCCATTTGAACTTTCTTTCTCATATAGAATATAGGGCAATCACGACTAAACGAATAAAATAATGAAATTAGACTAGGATCAGTATTATAAAATATGACTTAATGAAGTTTACAAACCTAGTACACAATACTTCTTGGTGAAGACTTCCCTGACACCTTTGACATTCTGTCCATAATCTACAGAATTTCTCTTCCAATTTTCTACCCATGTACAATTCAGTTTGATAAAATTCTGCTTCTTTTGGTTCGCAATATTGACATAAAGCCATTTTTTCCCTTTCTGGTGTTAGAACAGCTTTGCAGCCCAAACATGCCGCCTTTTTAAGTGTGAAGGCGGACAGAGCTCCAACTTTCGATGTAACACGAGATCTCGTACGTGTGTGATCTCCCTTCAACAAAAGCGATTCAGCCTTGTCGCCAAGAATTGGCTCGAAAATGCGTACCAATGGCTTGGCTAACTGATTTTCCAAGTAATATTGCGTGTCTATAGGAATATTATTTTCCAACACGTATATTGGATCCTCAGCTTTTTGATAAGCTGGTGTGCCTTTGGCTGCTGATATTAAGACATATGGAACTCTGTCACCAAGTTTCGGTGCATTTCCAGCGTCACGTTTCTTCATTTTTGCAGCTAATTCAACGTGAGCTTGTTTGGCGTGGTAATCAGTCTTCGTTAATTCCTTTGTAATCACTAACTGAGAAATATCAACACGATTACATAAGAGATCGCTTATCATTTGCTTTGCATAATTTAGAGCATCATTAGGGTTTCTATAAAAAAGATAATAAAAATGAAAAATTGAGTACAGAGTAGATACAAAACGTACTAATAAACAGATACGAAAAACATAATATTAGTTTACCTATCAATGAGCAATTTTTGCAAGCAAGTATTCATCATGTTGGCTACTAATGGACAATTATCTCTTCGTACAGTTTCTAAACCTTTACAGTCCATTTTATCATATTTGTCTGGCCGTGTAAAGTATAAACCAGCGTACCGCTTCTTATTAATTAATAGGTATGGAAAATATACTTTCTCGAATTCTAATTTTATTGGCTTTAGGAATTTTGAAGATACAAATTCTGCTGCTTCTCTACCGAGACTCATGGCTTCCTCAACTGTTTTTACACCAAATTTAACCATAACAGAATCTGTATCTCCATATATAACTACTGCATCATTATTATACCCATTTGTAACACAGAATTGCTGTTCCACTTCCTGTTTCGTTTTTTCTATCATGGTACGTCCATACGAGGTAACACTCTGGAAATAAAGTTTTCTATTATATAAATTTTATTGGGCATTGTTCGATAATGAATAGAGAAATACTTACAGCAGAAATCTCTAAGCATGGTAATTTTCCCATCTGAGCGCCAGTGAAACCGTATACAGAATTGGCAGATACTTTCAAAGCATACTGTCTACCATCCAATACCTTTTGTTTCAATGGATCAGTTTCATTTTTCAACTCAGCTTTCGCTGCTTTTCTAGCTGATAAGAGATTTTCTAAAATTTCTGGTAGAATTCCTTTTCTGACGTTAGCTTTGATAAACCTTGAATCAGTTGGAGTCACAGTTACATCTTCTGAATTAACTTTATACTTAGTCTGCCTCTCGCTATTTAACAGTGTTGTATAACACAGATTGTGGGCCATGATAATACTAGGATATAGAGAACTGAAATCCAAAGTCGCAATTGGATCATTATAATAGCCACGCTTTGGTTCTATGACTGTTGCACCTTCGAATTGTTCGTCAGTAGCTTGTCCCCGGTGTACTGGCATTAAAAAATCTTTTTCTCGAATCTGAAATTATTTATGTTTTACAATATAGATTAAACAACAAACAATAGACTTATTTCTTTTATTTACCTTCCTCAAAAGTTGAGAAACAACTTTTATTTGCTGGCCCCGGGTTAACAAACTGCATAAAGAAACTCCAGTGACTCTTGCCATTTCCATATAGATAAAAATACACATTAACTTGTCTAAAAGCCTTAGCGGTAAGTACGCATCTTTTAAACAATAGACAGCAAGCCTTCGTCGGGTCTGTGCATTGCCATTTTGTAAGTCTGTGATAATACTATGATGAACATCTTCTTTTTGTTCTTGCAAAAAATGATAGGAGACAGCATTTAAGGTATAAGACCTTAATTTGTAATCCCTGACCAGTACCTAAACACAGATATAATTTTTCATTAGTTCTGTATCAACTTTCATGATAATTAGTTTTTACCAGCAATAAGTCGAATGGAACTCTTCCTTCAAAATTGACATGCTTATTTTCACGATTACCCATCTGTTTGCTTTGAAGTACTTGAGTTTTAATCACAGACTTCACTTTCTTCACTCGACCAAGAAAGTAAAAATTCGTTAAATTGAAATGCTTTGCTCGATTAATTAGATAGGGAAAATCAAAATTATTTATGTTATATCCAGTGAAAATGTCGGGGTCCAACTGTCTCACAAATTCAGCCCATTTCTGAGGAAAATAATTGCTTAGTTATGATTTCAAATCTGCTTAATGTGATAAGAAAATCTAGAGTACACTTATACCTCTAACATTACTTGTTCCTTATCGAAACTTAAAACTTGGCTACCAACGATTGGTGCGCACGTGTCCAGAGTAAAAATGTTTCTTAAAAAAGGCTCTGGTTCTCCCTGTCTTATTACCATGTTAGCAATCTGTATAACTGGGTCGTGATTTGGTTCGGGAAAAATACCTAAATTTATGAATGTAATTAGCATAATTCGTGTAGGATGTACGAAGTGTTTATATATAGAACAAATGAAAAAGAACTGTACCCTTGCGGCCAGCGCATTCAATATCGAAACTGAGTATTCTGAATGGTGCGATTTTCGACCATTCTCCGTGTGGCTCATGTGCAATGAAAGCATCCCATGCCACATCCACTTCCAATTGGCATCTTGTAATTAACGGTAAATCATGTCCATAGTGTTGACGAAGTTTCCACGTCTTCGGAGGCAATTCGATCCATGAGCATCCAACAACTGAGGTGTCTACCATAAATCTGTAACACACGTAGTTACTAATTTTGAGAAAATATCTTGAATAAGATGTATGAGGTAATCATTTTTTGATTTATTGAACATACCTAATGTCAAAATCAATGTTGCTTTCATAAGCAATATACTTATGATTAAATTCGGGTATAATATTGTCCGCCTCGACCAGTCTTTTGCAAGGTGCGACTAATTTTGGTACTGCCACTGTTATTTTTAAGAATAATGATTTCTCATTTCCTGCATAGCCATACATGTTCTGTTTATACACCCGTTCAACAGCCAAAACAGTTTCTTGAATATTATCTGGATTTGATCTCATATCTTTTAACAGAGCCTTATCTAAAGCATCCTAAAAAATATATTTATACAATATTTACATTTTATACTGAGACTTTAAATTACTAACTATTAAAATTACCTTAAACTGCCTACAATGATGTTCATTGAAGTTTTGTGGAGCTGAGACATACAGGTATGGAGTGAAACCATGAACATGACAACAAACAGAATTTCCTTGTTCTGTGACACCAAACATTCTCATTATTGGTACTGGAGCTGTTTTACTGCCTGGCATGCCAGGTAAAGGTGCATCTAAATACCAAAAGCATAATGGAACATTATCATTACACAATACAACATAATTCACTTATTTTAGTTCATAATATTACCCAAGTAATGGTCGATATCTATTTGCTGAAAGACCAATACATCTGTTTGTGGGTTTAATTGAGGAGGAGGAGGCCTGCTCCATTTAGCAGATGTGTTTTCTTGCTCCGGAGCCTAGAAAAATAATTATGCTAGACATCACGTATTACAACGTTAATCACAAATATATCAGACAGCATAGCAAAATATCTCAAATGACAGACACAGATATGAAATAGTGGAATATACATACTTAGCACATAAAGCAATTAAGTAATATATAAAAATTGAAATCAAGTTACCATGAGCTGCATATTTCTAGCATTTAATGAATAGTTATTGCAAATATATCTTGAAATGACATAAGCTAAAAAAATATAGATACAAAAGTGAGCATTGATGAATTATAATAATACAAGCATTAATAC